AACACACATAACTGTGATTACAATTACCGATAGATGAATTTGACATTGCAAAACTCTTCCAAAATTATGTACGAGCAAAACAGAGTTTTTAACAGTGTTCGTATCATTCAAAGAATTCAGTTAAGAGCACAACTGATTCACAGTGCAAATCATATTAGTTATTCACCACACACACACACACACACACACACACCCAGCTCAACATCAAACTACAAAGCACCTCTAAACTCACGGAGCAAGCAAGACCAATGCAAGAATTCATGGGATACCTTCATGGGGTACAAAACTCATCTAAAATAGTCACAGATTCCCGCATTAATCGAAGTTCTACTGTTACATAAAAATAAAATAAAAATAAAAATAAAAAAACCTAACCTCCTTTCTACCCAACCCAAATTGCAGATAGAACCTTGCTTCTCTCCTGCAACACACCCTAAGCAAAACTCTCTCTCATCCAATTCCCATAGAAAAACCCAACTGCATGAATCCCAACTTTCAACAAGAAGATTTCCATCAACATCAGTTCACACAATGGCCAGTTTTGCGCTTGTGTCTACTGATATCTGACACAAATCTAAAAGTTCTATCACAACCTGGGGCTCCACACTTGTAAGGCCTCTCTCTTGTGTGAACCCTGAGGTGCTCAGTCCGAGCCCAAGCCCACTTGAAGGTCATCTTGCAACCCGTCCAGGTACACTTTAATGGCCTCTCTTCCATGTGAACTCTCTGATGAAGAACCAAATATTTGTGAGAATTGAACCTCTTTCTACAACCTTTAATGGTACATCCATTCTTCTTGTGTATAAGAAGCTCACCCTTGGTTACAAAGCACATTGTACATCTTTCGATGTCACAGCGGTATGATCCCTCCTCCTCAACCTCTTTATAAGAACCATTTCCCTTTAGTTTCACCCCCTCAACCTCTTTATAAGAACCATTTCCCTTTAGTTTCACCCCCTCAACCTCTTTATAAGAACCATTTCCCTTTAGTTTCACCCCCTCAACCTCTTTATAAGAACCATTTCCCTTTAGTTTCACCCCCTCAACCTCTCTATTCCCAGCTCTCTCCATTCCCACCCATTTCTTCTCTCTCGAGGACTTTCTTCTCACCCCACTAATTTCTTCTTTGGATTGAGATACAGAGTCATTAGACCTCGGCCTCAAGTTCTCGCATGGGCTTAAACAGAACGTGTTAGACCTTGGCCTCAAGTTCTCACACGGGCTTAAACAAAACCCACTGCGGGAGTATGAACTATGAGTTCCTTTCTGAAAGACCTCTCTCTTTCCCTTGGTCCCCTTCTTTACAACAGGTTTTGTATCCAAAGAGGCAGAATCACTATGTTCTGGGGCTTCTTTATCTAGGTCATGTTTTGAAGTGGAGACCTCGGTTTCCATGTTGGTTTCTTCTGGCTTCTTATTACACAAATCATCATTCCCTTCTGGAGCTGTCTTTCTCCTCTTCCTCCTATTATATGCAATTGGTTTTGCCTCAATAGGGGCAGGGTCAATGTTCTCTGGGTTTTCTCTATCAGAGCTACGTTTTAAAGTGAGAATCTCATCTGACATGTGAGTTTCTTCCGAACCATTCGTACATGAATCAGCATTTCCTTCCTGAGTTATCAATCTCTTCTTGCTCCCCTCAGCATGTGGTTTTGTCTCCGAAGGGACAGAATCAATATTTTCTGGATTTCCTTTATCTGAGCAATGTATTGAAGTAGGCATCTTAGGCACCATGTTGGTTTCCTCAGAAATCATGATACATGAATCAGTATTCCCTTCATTGGTCACCTCTTTCCTTTTCCTCCCCGTCTTTGCAACTGGTTTCGTCTCAGAAGGGATAGGGTTGACATTTCTTGGATTTTCTCTCTCTGATAGATGTTTTGAGGCCGGAATCTCAGCCACCATGTTAGTTTCTTTAGAACTGATGATGCATGAATTAGCATTCACTTCATTTGCCACCTCTTTCCTCCTCTTAACAAATGGTTTTGTCTCTGACGGGGTGAATACGACGTTTTCTGAGTTTTCTCTATCCAAGCCATGTTTTGGCATAAAGGCCTCATCCACTATGTTGGTTTCCTCAGAGCTCATGATACATGAATCAACTTCACCTTCCTGAGTTCTGTTTCTCCTCTTCCTACCCGTCTTTGATACCGGCTTTGTTTCGAAAGGGGCAGAGTTTATATTATCTGGGTCATCTCTATCCAAACAAAAGTTCAAAGCCGGAACCTCAGTCAACATGTTGGCTTCTTCTGAAGTCATTATACATGAATCAGGTTTTCTTTTCTCGATCAGCAGACTCCTCTTGCTTCCTTTCTTTATAATTGGTTTTCCCCCTGAACGAGCAGAATCAGCCTTTTCTGGGTTTTCCCCATCCATGCAGTTGGCAGAAACTTCAGATTCCTTATTTGTTTGTTCTGCATTTATTTTTTGAAAACGGGGTTGTTCTGAAATCATGGAACTTTGTAGAATGTCAGTGTTTTTGTTAACTAAACGCTCTCCTGCTGGTGATGTAATTTTACCACCATCATGATGCTTATCCACAGCATGCTTTCTAGGTCGGCCCCGAGGTCGCCTGCATTTTTTTAATGAAGAATTTTCCTCTTGCTGTCCTGCTAAATCACCTTGTACCAGATTTCCTTCTAAATTATGCTGTGACCATTGTCCAGCAATAGAGGGTCTTTTCTGATAAGTCTTTGCCTTATTATGGGATCGAGATTTTTGAAACTTCCACTTGAGGCCCGACGCATAAAAGCCTCTCCCCCAAATATTTTCAGGAAACAAGACACTCAAGCCCAACCCATGATGTCCCTCTTTTGCTGAAGACGACTTGCAGAGGTTGATAGAATGCTGCAAATTCACCCCCAATTTTGAGGTCCAATCTTTGCCGCTTTCCTCATGTTCTTCGTCATCGATCGATATGTAAATCAGTTCGAGCTCTGAGGGAGTGGCGGCCACCAAGGGGATGCCTTTGCAATTGAAATTGGCCCCAATTTCTTCAGCAACAGAAACAGCTCTTTCTTGTATTTTCGGATAATCTACAACCAGAAGTTGAAAGACATGGAGTCACTAATGAAACAGTTTTACATGGCCCAGTCACAATTGTTTTGATAAGTTGTTTTCTGAAAGCTGTTAACTAAATTAGATAATATTCGAACTAAATTAAATAATATTCCTAAACCACCTCTGTTTCAGGAATCATTCAGTAACTCATTTATTTGAAAAGTCTAAATTTTGCAAAAATATTTAAGAGCATTATCTATAATACACATGTGAGTGTGTACACAAGAAGTAGAACTTGCTTTCTTCTACCCAGTTTTGGGCACCAGACACCATGCAGTATTTATATTGAAGCATACGTAAGAGCAATCCAAAAGCAAATACAATGGCTGCCTGCTGCATATGACATACCTGAGCATTAACTTGCAAGACACATTATTATAAATAAAATTGCTCATCAACTAAACTATATGCCATTAAATTGCAACATTGACATTGAATTACTGGCTCATGCCATTTTGCAGCTATAGTCATTAGCACTTACTGAAATATTTTAATTCTTTATGAAAGGTAGACAACACTCCTCTAGTATGAGGGTATATTGGTACAAGGACACTGTATGATTTAGTTGTGTTGGATTAAAAATGCAAAGACTCTCTCCTAGCCCAACCTCTGCGTGTATGTTGGTTGGGTACGTACACCAAATTTATGTGTAACAAAAAAACCTTTACAGGGTAACGCTTTTCTCACTTGGATAAGGTTTAAGAGAGGATAGACCAAAATACTGGGGGAAAATGTTGGAATTATTTGCTTATCTTTTGTTGGAGTGCAGTAATCTCATCACAAATATGCAATCATGTGCATTTTAAGTTGGTAATCTTTCAACTACAACTACCCACTCATTCACTGAAAATACTCATAGCATTCTAATTAGAGAGTAACAAAGCAATTTTCTTATAATCATCAATTTGGAAGCATCTTCTACACTTTGCTTAAGTCGGCCAAAATATCCAAAAATGCAAACAGAAAAAGCCAAGGATGGAGGAAAACTTTTACCTGAGTGACAAAGGAGAAGCATGTTTACACCTCCCTTGCGCTGCAACATCTTGTCAACTTCAAAGGCATGCTCCAGGCAAAAGATTCTAGGCCTAAAATTGTCTTCTGATAGGTTCCAGTGATTGGTTAGTTGACTACTTCCATTTCCTGGAGGCCCACTCATCAGTCCCTCTGCATTATTGCAAGACTTCTCCAAACCAGAACCTGACATGGTTTTGGAATCCATTTCCTCAAAATTTTCAGTCACCAATATCCCTTTCTCTTCCATTTCCGCAGGCTCTTTCAAAGGAGGAGCTGCTTTTAAGGAGTGGCAATTAGTATCTGCCTCCACAATGGATGATGTGAAACAAGCTTCTTTAGGGCCATCACTCAATAAATCGATATTATCTAATACATAAGCTGGTTGTGACTCAGAAACATGGTCCTCACATTTGGGAGATGAATCTCTTCCCAGATCCAAGTATGAAATGGAGACATCCGTCGGATTAAGTGAATTTTCATAAAACATCTGTTTCTCTTCCTCTGAGAGATCCTTTTGTACTTCAGGACCAATAACAGGTGCTTCCAAAACGTCTGATAAGGAATGAAAAACAGAAGATGATCAGGTTTTCATCAAAGAAAATCAAATTTATGCATATGAACTTTAAATCATGAGAGATATCCATCATCCAATTGACATTAGTAAACCACTGTCCATTCGTTATTGACCCTGATGCACAATCATTTTCTGTAGGCCAATTGAGTAATGCTTTTCCACAGTCCATAGGATCATAGCAATGAAAGAAAATTCAGCTGCCTTGCCGCCTAGGCGGCCATTTTCTCAAACCGCCAAGGCATGGACTAGGCGGTATGCTCCAAGCGCCCTAGGCGCCCGCCTAGGCTGCATAAAAGGCGGGCGGCTAGGTGCCGCCTCAAACAATCGAAACCAAGGGTGGAAAATGCCTCTCATCCATTGGGTAATTTGGTCATTTTCCCCCCTTATTTCTACTTCATTTCCTATTTGTAATGTTTTTTTTTAGTTTGTAGAATTTTTTTCTATTTTGTAATGTTTTACATGACTATTTTTTAGTATTTTTTGGATGACTAATTTTAAAAAAAATGCCAATTCTATATACAAAAACAAAGGGGGGAAGAGGGGGAGGGGGTGGGGGGGGGGATGTGTGCAGGGTACAACAATCTGCACGGATCTGCCCCTCCACCCAATGCAGGCTGCCTTTTTGTATCCAGGCGCCTCAACGGCCACATCCGCCTTCTTGAACATTGGATCATAGTGTACTGTTATCACTAATATTATACTGTATACCTTTCAACAACAATACTAATGGTAAAATTAAAATCTGTGGTTTGCAATAAACATCTTCTCGTTGAGATTAGGAGGAGACATCTAATATCTATCAAAGTACTCAAATCTGCTTTGATAGCCAGCTTGCAAAATATCCCACCCACAGATTCGAAGATAAGAACATAAACAGTAAAAAACAACCACAAAATTGAAGTATTAGAGATTTACAAATATGATAGAAGACTATTGGTTGTACATATAATGAATCAATTCAATAAAAAAAGAAAAAAATGAATAAACAAAGAGAAAGAAAACAATATGAGCCAAAAAGAATCAGGTCAGAATGCAAGGTCTTTTGCTCGTAGACCTGGCAAATGAGATAACCAGATATGCTCTGTACCTCACAAACATATCTTGTCAAGGAAGGTACAAAATTCAAACAAAAGTAAACTTGTGCAAGACTGGTACAAGGACATCGTGTCCATATATTAATACAAATTTGCTGCGGAAACATAAGTATTTAAAAAATTGTACAATGTGTCAGCATCTAAGGCATGCTTGACAAAACAGAATTTAAATATTCAAAGTTTGAGAAATTTGTAATTAGCCAATGGTAGCTTTCCATATATCAAGATTATATCTTGTCATGATGTGTTTTTTTGTGAGCGTTTGACTGTCTCTTGTTAACTCTGAATTTTTTATAAAACCCATTAATTATATCCTTAGAAGGTGTATATTCTCTTCTCTTTAACGTACCCCAAGCTCCCTCTTCTATGCGTGTGTACCATAGAAATGTCGTCTATGATTTCTTTCATCTCTGCTCTAATTCATTTCCCCTGCATTTCCACCATTGATGGGGAAAGTTGGAGCTCTTGCATCAGTTGTATTTTCTTCTCCCTCATGGAGACTGATGTTCTTGTGCTGCATCTCCACCTTCTCTCAACGGACTTGACTGCATCTTATGTTCCAATATGGATCCATACTAAAACATCCTCCATTTGAAAACCAATCCCCATTCCTTCCTCTGAAAGAAAGTTATTTTGTTTATAGCCCTGCTCTCATCTATCCACGGTGGATAGCACAAGATTCATGCAAACGAATCTTGAAATCAAGCACGTCCAGCTTCACCGCCATGTTGTGCTCTACAGAATCGGCCTCCTTGATTGTGTGAAATCTCATGCAATGTTGCTGGTTAGAGAGGGAAAGACAGGTAGAGAGAGAAGGTTCTGACTAGTTTTAAAGAGGGGGAAGCCCCAAATCCGCTATGTTTCAAAGAGAGATGATTGAGAACCTCAACCACTCTCATTCTAGAGAGAGAAAGGCTCAAAGCAACAGCTACTATGGCTGGTGAGAGAAAGGTGTAGAGCATAACCTGGCCCCTTATTAAAGAGAGAGAAAAACAAAGAGTTGATCATATTTCGAGGGGAGAGCTTCAGCCGCTGTTTTCATAGAGAGAAAGCAAAGAGTTGGTCATCTTTTGAGGGGAGAGCTTCAGCCGCTGTTTTTATAGAGAGAAAGTCAGTCAGCTTTAATTTGCCCCCTTTTGAACCATTGAAGCTAATTCATCGGAAGTGCTTGCGATGATAGATGATCGGCAGAGAGGATCATTCAGTCTCCATTTACAGACGCCACTGAGTCCAAGACTCCAGGGTTACCATGGTAGTGAAGACATGGAACCATAGCATGGCTGAACTGCTATGCCCTCATTATTCACCACTTCTAAAAAATAGTGCGAGGATGAAACTAAGGCCCATAAAATTTCATTTGATGGAGCGTAATAGGATTTGCAAGATCACCAAAATTCAAGTCTTATTTGAATTCTCCGTGATCCTAATTTTGGGCCATATTAAGATATTGTGGGACACAAGTCTGCATTATCAAATGCGCTTTTCTTGTTTTAGTATTATAACTTTTTTTAATTGCCCAAAATTTTGATATATTCGAATATTTACGTGCAGTCAAACATACCCTAAAAGATTTGTCCACCAACCTTGAAAAGATGGACAACAGAATCTTGGGGCCCAGAAGATAACAGAAATGTAAGACCTAGATTACAACCAATAGAAATGCAGACATCTTAAAATACCCAGAAGAAGCATTGATCAAAGAAACATATGCAAGAGGTATCTTCTAAAGTAAATAAGTCCAAACTTTGGATTAAATTCATATAAAAGACGAGACACGAAATGTGGTATCACATCAGCAATAGTATACTTAAGCCATATTTTCCATAGGCTTGCAAGAACAAAGGTATTAATACATGCTACAACAGTGTTCTAAACCATGGCTCCAGCAAGGTGGCACCTGCCCAAGCCGCGGCACTTGGGTGAGTCAACTCGGACACACCCGAGTCATGTCTGAGCCACAAAAGGGGCCAAAAACATGAAAAAAGTCTGTATTGTAAAAAAAATTGAAGAATTTAGAAAAATATAAAAAATCCGAAAAACAAATCAATATAAGATGCTATATAGAACATGGAATTGGAATAAAATTGATGTTATGCCTTGAAGAAATACATAATTTTGAAAAAAAAAAAGGAAATAAGGGGGGATCTCAGAAACATAGAAAAAAGAGAACTCATCAAAAATACAAAGTTAAATACAACATGAAATATAAATCATTTATAGTTGATTTCGTAAAAATAAATGAAATTTATGAATTTAAATTGAAAGAAAACATACCCAAAATTACGAGGCCGATCCTTTGATCTCCGCTCTCAATATGAATCGATGCCTCAAATCCTTCCTTGTCAAAGCTTACTCAACCAAACCCAATCAAAACTCCCAAATCAGTTATGAGTTTTGAGATTGGGTCTGGGAGATCTGAGCTCTAGAAAATTTGGATGAATAGTAAATCTGTATTTCAAATCTCCGAAATCAGCAATGAGTTTTTATTATGTTTTTTCCCTTTTCACCCCCTCAATTCATTATATCTCCCACTTTCTCAATTCACCAAGTTGACGACTCTTTCTCTCTCATATTAGTCTCTTTCGCACCCCCTCTTACATGTAAGTCTCTATCTAAATTTTGCAGCCGGTTCCTTTATCTCTTTAAACACAAGGTTAGAGAGAGAAATATAGGTCATAGTGTGTTAGACGAAGAAAGATTTAAGAGTTGGGGGGTTGGCCATTAGAGAGAGAAAGAGATTCAGAGAGATGAACCTGCTGTAAAATTTAGGGAGAGAGAGATTTAGTGTGAGAGGTCATTAGGGTTAGCATAGTGGTGAATTGAGAGAGAGCCCTTTCCATAGTGGAGAGAGAGACCTCACCGTGGTGAAATGAGAGAGTAGGAGATCTGAAACTGAGATAGTAGAAGATGTGATCGGTTGAAAAGGGCAAAAACATGGTAAAAAAGGTTTTTCGATTAAAGTGGTATAAATTTGTTGAGGCTAACGTATATATTCAAAAGTGAATAAAACAAGGAGATCAGAGATGGGGGGCACGTTGAAATCCTTAGGGGTCTTCTTATGCTGCTTGAAAGTAAAAAGGCCAGAGGGTCTCCTGTGAAATGAGATGGGAAATTAGGGTTGCGAATGAAATTTTCCCTTTTTTTTTTAAGAAGTTGACAATTGCATTAATAAATATAAAGAGATACAAAAAGGAGTTGATACATTTAATAAGAAAACCGAGTGAATGGGTGCCCAGTACAAAAACCCCTAGGGGCCCAAAAAATGCTCTACACCAAAAACCAAGAACAAAGATGGGATGCAGGCTTAAAAAACCCCTGCAGTACCCAGGGAGGTGTTGAGACTAGCTCCAGCCCTAGCTAAAGCACCGGCAGCGTCATTGGCTTCGCTATGAATGTGGCTCCAAGAGGACAGAGTGTTGTAGTAAATATGTCTTCTCTGCAACAATGTGGTCTAGTCTCTAAGGGCATGATGCAGTTCCAAAGGCCCAAGTGATGGTGTTTCTAGAGTCACCCTCGACTATCAAATCAGTATTCCAGTTATGATCAAATCTTTGTAGCCGCTCAACTAAGGCAATGGCCTCAGTAGTAGTGGAGTCTGTAATACGAATGAGCAAGGAGAAGGAGAGAATGGTAAGGCCTTCAGAATTTCTAAAAATTCCTCCAATGCCAGAGGGTTCCGGGTTGCCAAGAGAGCAACCATCAAAGTTCAATTTAGTGACCCCAATGTCAGGCAGCCTCTAAAGAGAAGCCTGTGGAATGCTTTAGGCCCTGAGGTTCAACAAAGCCTCCCAGTGATGGTGGAGGTCGAAAAAAGAGTAATTAGTCAAGAGTTTGTGGTTGAAGGCTCAGAAAGTTATGAGAGACCGTCTCTTTTTTATGAGGACAGGGATGGGAGCTTTCTTTCCTCTGAAAATCCTACTGTTCCTCTCAGGCCAAATGGTCCACAGAGTGGCGGCAATGGAGGCCCTCGAAAGGAGCTTCCAAGATTTTCTCCAAGGGGTGTGAAGGCATGTAGAGAAAAGATGAGGGACTGACTGAGGGATAACCCACAACCAGTTAAAGAGGAGAAGAAAGTCAGACAACAGGCCATTGCAACTTCACAATGAAGAAAGAGATGTTGGTTCGTCTCTTCAGCCCTCAAACACATAACACATCAATTGGGCAGAGATATACCTCTACACTGTAAATAGTCAAGGGTAAGAGCCCTTTTGTGAAGAGCAATCCAACTAAAGAATTGAATCTTGAGGGGGGATGAAGGAGCACCAGGCCTTGGTAGCAATGGAAGGTGGTACCAATGCGTGGATGGGTTGTGAGGAAATGATATGGTAGAAAGAGGCCACTGAGAAATCTCCAGAAGTAGTGGGGGACCAAATGATCTTGTCGTACCCAGAAGAGAAAGGAACACTTTGTGAAGCAGGGCCGAGAGTGCTAAAAATTCTATGAGCTCATGATCTGCGAGAGGTCTCCTGAAATTTGGGTTCCAAGATCTGGTGGTTCGTGGACTAACAAAGCTGTTGGATACACCCGGTAAGGGATAGCGGGCAAGGAGGAAGAGGGACGGGAACTGATCCTTAAGTGGGGTGGAGCCGACCCAGGTATCACACCAGAATCTAACTCTGTTATCAATTCTGGGAGTAAAGCACACCTGGCTGAGGAAGAGCTGGCCGCAGTGGAGGAGGGACCTCCAGAAACCAGAGACGCTGCCCCCCATCCTCATGAGGAAAGCCAAGCGTGATCTTCACGGCAATATTTTCGCCTTATCACCTCCCTCCAAAGAAATGGTTGGAATGGTTGTTGTCCTAGAAGCCTTTGGCTCTAAGCTGAAGAAAGGATATGTTGATCACCCTTTCAGATCTGGAAGAAGTATGCAGTGGTGGGGCTGCTCATAATGAGAAAAAGAGGTTTCATTTTCTTGATATAATGATCTAAATAGGTTTTAAGGGGAGTTAAATTTTTGGAACTAGAATAATGTCCATAATCTGTTTCTCAATTTTTAAATGATGATTTGAGCCAATGTAAAGTAAGAATTTCTTGTGGTATCAGACACCCCTATACCCTCCCTCTATGTGCATATTGAACGCTTTTGGAGGACTCCTGCAAAGGGCAACTAAAATCAGTGAATTGATTTCATCAAGATTCATGAGAAGGCCTAAGATACTCACTTATGCAATATACTGACGTTATGTCCTGTATGATACTCACTTATGCAATATACTGACCTTGATCTAGGCATCTAGGTTGTTAGGTAAAAGAAGAGAAAACAAAATCATCCAAAGAGTGGCTGGTATACCAATCAACTTTCTATAAAGACAGGAACTATAATAAAGAAAAGGAAAGAATAATCAAAATTCCCTGAACATTGGCTTACATGCTTACCAAAATTTCTGATGTTCTCTTAGGAATTAATAGCATGCAAATTCCTTAAATCATTATATGGAGTCCCTCAAATGCTGAAGACAGTAGAAGAACAACAATTATCAACTTCAAATACAATTAAATATCATGAACATATTGATGGAGAGCCTAATTTTAGTACAAAATGTCTTACAGGCAAACATATACCCATAAAAAAATTTCTTTTACAAGCAGAAATACCTATCTGAATTAAGTTTCAAATTCACATATTAATAGAAGATTAAGAGGCTTTCACATTAACCATCCATAAATTACTGAAGGAGTCATTTTCTTCACTCAGCTTTCATTTAGTAGAGCAATAGGAAAGGACAACATAATTTTGCAGTAGCAAGACCTGAATTTGGATTCGCATCATCAGCTACCAGTGTTGGACACTGTGACTTCAATGATATAGAAATTCCACATTCTTCATGATCAACTTCATCAAATTCTGAATAAAGGTTCTTCCTAGCTTGTTCAGAGGGTTGTATAACTGCCATACAAGGAAAACCTAGAACCCCACAGGCCACACATGTCAATGTCCCCGAATCAACATGGAAACCAGCTAAAGAGAGCTCATCTGGCCCATCATGCAATAAATTATGGGCATCTTTGTTGCAGAAATTCAAAGATTTCTCGTCGGGATTCAAATGCATTTTGCCTGTTGCAGGAGAGGAGCGTAGTGAAGGGTCACAGGGTGCAGGCAATAACTCAGGATCCCAAGACACCAAATACTGTGCAGATTTCTTGCCAATCAAAATATTCAGTATCTCCATTTCTTCTTTCATATCACCTATAAATGCTTCTTTGAGTATCATTTCTCTATCTTCTTTTTTCTTATCTCTCAATCGAGAACGTCTAGGTACCGCGGGAAAGGCAGCAGGTATCCTGGCAATTAAAGAACCCCAACTCATCAAATTAGATGGAATATATAGAGAAAATTTTGATAAACCAAAATGTTCAAACTGCTGAATCTGATCATAAGAAAAGACTATCACATATGAAGCCCACCACCCTATGGAAAAGTATAAGCCCAGCAGCCTAGATTAAAGGATCCAAAAAAGAATGGTCAGCGTTGCATGTTAGAAATGTTTTTTTTGTTCTTTTGCCCTTTTGAAAAAAAGGAGTAGTCTGATGGAACCCAATACATACGCCTCATCTAGGCATTCCAAATCAAGAAAGAAAAAGGATAAACTCAAGAAATGTTGGGCAAAATGTGCCTGCCACTCTCAGCTGTCCAGATGCCCCTCTCCTTCAATCTGGCCATTGGGCTTGTGCTTAGTATGAGCTTCAGCTTATAGAATCTCTATGTTACGTGTATGTATCAAAATAATTCTATGTCAGAATGCCTTGTACTATAACATAAGCCACTTGGAGCTGAGGGGTTTGTTCGACCCCAATTTTTGCACACATGATTGTCAAATGTAGGCAATCAAAAACAAAAATGAAATTGCACAATAAAAATGGGGGAAAATAAGTATGCCATATTTGGTGCATGTAGGCCATCCATTATATGGACATGGCATCTAGGCCTCCAGGAACTGAAAGATCAAAGTTTTAAATTATTTATTTTCAGAAAGATGAGAAAATCTTCAGCTCAAGAAAATCCCTATATCTAGGTGTTTTAGCCATTGGGCTCATACTATAGCATAAGCATATTGCTCACAGAATCTTGGGTTTCGTCATAGTCAAGCTGGACGTTTTGTGATTTGCCTAAAACATGTACATCTCTTGCAAGAAAATGGGAGAAGGGTCCTGGACACCTATATATGTCGCAAATAGAATTAGAGCTAGATCAATACCAAAAAGGGGTGCATTGTTGATATCTTGGGTCGATAATCAAGGGAAAATGAAAGATTGAGAAAGATGTCGCACATAGAATTAGAGCTGGGTGTACGAAGTGGAGATGTGCAACAAAAATTTTAGTGATCACCACATACCAATGAAGCTGAAAGGAAAGTTCTATAAGATAGTTGTGAGACCAGCTTTGCTTTATGGGGCGAAGTATTGGGTGGTCAAGAAACAACATACCCATAAGATTAGTGCATTGAGATAAGGATGTTGAGATGGATGAGTGGCAAGACAAGAATCGATAGAATACGAAATGAATACACTCAGGAGAACTTAGGTATAGCTCCAATAGGCGATAAGAAGAAAGAGTAGACTTAGGTGGTCAGCCATGTACAGCGTAGACTCAGTACAACACCTATTTGGAGGTGTGAGTTGGTTCAAGTGGAAGGTTAGAAAAAGGGAAAGGGTAGGCCCAAAAGGAAATGGTTGGAAGTAGTGAGAAAAGATATAGGGACTTATAGCCTCACTGAGGGTATGACCCTTAATAGAGCAGAATGACAAACCAAGATTCGTGTTAACTGTCACGACCCTGCCCCATGACCCCTACCGTCCCATACCGAAGGGCGACAGAGCGCGGGATCACGATCACAGAGGTCGCATACATCACTCAAGTGGGAGTGGCAGCCAACCCCAATTAGTTGGGAAAAAGCTTTGACGATGATGAGATCCCACCAATATGTGAGGTTGTGATTGATTTCCCTCTGACCTGGCCATGGGCCGAATCCGAGTGACCCAGAGCTACTCCAAGTAACTAGCCGTAATCGGGCAGGTCTCGACTAGTTAGAAAGGGCTAAAAAAAATCTAAAAAAAATTCAAAAAAACTCAAAAACTATTTAAAAATAATCCATTTATAGGTTTTGTAGTCTGTATGAATCATCAAAAAGATAATGCTAAAGATGAAATTAGTCATAAATGATTATAAAATATAAATCGATAATTGGAAACAGGAGATATGAGATATCAGGTGTGAATAAGTCTATTATTAAGTTTTTTGCTATTCCAAAAGTATAACATTTCTTCAAAAAATTCAAAGAAAAGTAACAATTCTTAGATACTCTTTGACATAAAAAAAAATAATCAAGCCATGCATAAATTTTTTATAAAAGAGTATTAAATGCCTAAAAATTAAATTTTATTCTTAAACATAATTTATTACAAATTTTCTATTTTCGATTATAAAATTTGTAATACTTTAAAAATATATATTTATTTATTAATTTATTACAAATTTTCTATTTTCGATTATAAAATTTGTAATACTTTAAAAATCTATATTTATTTATTTAAGATAGGAAGTGAAATTTGGAGCTCGGATGAAAAAAAAAAAATTAAAATCTACATTTATTATATTCCCTCTTTTCCAATTTTAGGAAAACGTAAAATAATATAAGCATACTCAAATTATATGATTGATTTCTTTTTTATTTCTCCTTGAACATTTCTTTGTTCTTAAATCTCTTCTTACATTTTTACAAGCAACACACCTAAATCCACTAGTCAACAATGAATTTCATGCGTTGATACTGGAAAGGCATGGGATATGACTTTACAAATGCCCCAACAAGCACTTCTGCAAAAGGAATTGACAGGAAAGTGTCATGCAGCAAGAGATCCTGCTGATAAATCACAACCTACACGAGAAGGAAGCTTAACCAGCACACTTTGAAAGATCTCCCTCAATAATAATTCCCAGTAAATGTTTCTAAAATAATTACAAACAAAATGACAAAAGTCAAATATAAGTTGATCCTTGAAACTAGGTGAGGGCAATAGATAGCTCAAGAAACATTGTTGTCTCAACTAACTTCCCACACTTAAAAGGTCTAGGTTTCCAGGTTCGCCTTAAGACGGGTTTGACAGGGAAAGACATGGAATTACTGACTGCACACATTTGCCCAGTGTGACCACAAAACGTTTGCAAACATCTAGAAGACCTGTAAATATGAGTATGTCTTGTATATTTCTTGCTTAACAGTTTATGTGTTAGTCGTAAACTTGTATCTAAAATTCAAAAAAAAGGTGTTATGTATAAGAAGTTCAGAACAATGGCACAGGCACCCCATTAACTCAGAAGGCAGTGCTATCATTCAAAAGGTGATTAAAGAGGCTCACAGGGGTCCTTGAGGGGGGAAGATCTGCATGGGGAAGAGTTTACCAGCAAAAAACCGATATGGAGCGGGAAGGAAATATGATTGTATAGCATGTGGCAAGGTGAAGGTGTGGATAGAGATGCCGATAAGCAAGAAAAAAAACTCAGTAGTAAATATCAATCCAGAAATTTCAATTCAAAATTTTTGGTACCTATTGGTAATGCTCTATATAACGTGGAAATGTTTATGGCATTGTGATAGTTGCAGATGATTGTAGTCAATCAGCCATAGTACGTATTGAAACCAAATCTTCCATTATGTCCTTAACACGACATATTTTGTGCAATTAACATAAAGCTATTAATTGCACTATTCACAGCCATGAGACGGTTTGCTGACCTTGAATCAAAAGACAGCGTCAACATATATAATAGTTGTTGATGGGAGAGCATGGGGAGATAACTCAATGCAGCCCGGCGCACTGCTGCTTCTTTTGCTACCTTAAGCCACTGAGGAGTTGCAAAGTTAGCAGCTTCACCACAATTAAAGCCTGTTTGCACAAGCCAAATGAACCACAAAATTAATATCAAATCCAGAAGTAAAGTCCACATATAAATAAAAAAGTGCCCAAGGAACTCACAGTATCATAAAAAAGCAAAAGATCACTACTATTTTGAAACAGTATGATAATTTCAAATTGCATTCATGCTCAAAATGATATAGGAAGAAATAACAAAAGACAATATATCGATTTGCCAACACCGGGCACAAGCATAATGGAGAGAATGCTCCATGTATGTAACACAATCTTAGTGAAACCAAAGTAGCCTCCATTCCATATTATCCACTATAATGTCAGCCACCCCATGAACACAACAGATAACCAAAATATATCTAATCTTTTAGCGATTTGGGCACCTTGCTTGATGGTTAGGGTGTTGAGTACTGCAACAAAAGATCCCTGGTTCGAATGCCACTGCTGGAAAAAGAAAAAGAAAAAGAAAACAAAAAAAAAAGGAACAAAGACGATATCTACTCTTCTAAAAATTGCCAATTAGATGCCTTGGATGGTTGCACAAACCCTTCAACCAAGTTATGAGAGCCATCTCATGCAAGAAAGCTCAGACACATGATGGCTGTCGCCTCATATACATATCCTATGTTCTTAGGGCAATGATCGATCCAAAAAGAGTTGACATATAAATGCATACGAATAAATATAGCTTAAATTTTGTGTATGTTGTAGCAATAAATAAATGTTTACATATGTTACATATATTGTATAAACTAATTAATAAAATTATAAATGCCAGATATAGAACAACATGTTGGCCTCCGGCAGTTAAGATATTTTATTTTTTGATAAATGAAAGCATTTAAGGTCTCAATTAATTTTAGCTTGCTATTGGTTCTATCTACTGCATGCAAGGAATAATATTTTGCCACCAACTAAGGTAAACAATATGCCCACAATAGCACCCGTTTACCCACAATGGCACCAGCATAACCTTTTTGAGTCTTTGCAGCTGCATAGTTAGACAGATAATGAACCAATAAAAAAAATTCCTTCTTTAATCAAATCAAAGCACTCAATTATGAATTAAACAACTTCCAACTATTATCAAAGACATTATATGCTAATGATTGTTGAGCTGAAAAGGAAGGAATATCATCAAGTGAGTACCATGGCTGAACCCTACGTGGTAAGCTCTTGGAAAAGTGACAACAAATTCACCAGGATGTTGCACTAACCTGTACAAAGAGACATGACTCAGATGTAGCATGAAAGGAACATAACAATGTTTGCAGATAAAATATTCAATAGATCAGCAGCTGATATCTACATAATCATCAAAGTAAGATAATTGAAACCTTCTTGCATATCAAGCTGAAATTATATTGTTATATGCTTTGTAACTACACATAGGCTAATAGCATGTCATAAAAGAGAAATAAAGTAGATAGACATCACCTACAACAGCGGATTCCCGATGCAACAATTATTTCAGGAGATAATAGCGTTGTCTTTTCACCTAAAGCGGAGAATGATCCTGAGAAACAAAAGCACTACATTGAAAACCAACAAAGAAAGGAACAAAAGATAGATAAAATACCACATGCTTGCGCACACGGACACCTACAGACACACAACTTGCTATTGTAAGAAAACTAAAACCAAAATATACAACAGATCAAATGTTATGAGAGAAAAGTTCTCTACCTAATGAATCAAGATGCCCACCATAACCTTTCAACCTTACGACTTCCTCAAAAGAGGACGCTGCATCTCCAGGGACTGCATACCAAGTCTTTGGGGAGCCTGTATGAAGGAAGTTCAAACTATGCAATTCATGATCCTCCACATGCCAAGCAAACCAGCTGAATAACATACCAATATAAATCATTGGAGATGTAACACCAGGTATGTCATCAGCCATGTAACGGGTCAGGGAGCCAGGAGATCGTGCAATAATCTGTAAGTTCCAAGGACTATTAGCAAGCCTCCAACCAGCCGTTCCTTCCATATCGCCCCCATAATTTGAAGTCTTCTCTCTAGATCTTTGCCCCTCTCTAGGTAAAGGCACAGTAGATGAATCAAAAGATAGCTCAGAGTCTCCTAAAGTTCGCATCAAGTCACACCCATTTTTAATATCGTCGTGGGAAGCCTCCTTCACATGGTAACCATCTTTTGTATCAGGGACTATGTTTGTCTCATCTCCTCTTTTATTAAGCTCCTCTACACAAGTGTCACCTTTTGTGCCCAAACCAAAGTTTCTCTCTGCTCCATCCTTGTTAGGCTGCTTACCAGAATTACCATCCTTTGTGCTCAAACCCATGTTTCTCTCTCTTCCCAGTTTGTTAGGATTAGCACTATAATTGCCTTTTGGGTTGATTTTCTTCCTCCTATGCCGTCTGTATGAAAACTTGAAAAGTCCCTCAGGTTCCCCAAATCCAGAACCTGGAATATCATTCGCATACTCAACGTATATCGGCTTCTCTGATGCTGCCTTCCAAAACAACGTCTCAATCAAAAGGGGAGAAGTCTCCTTGTAAGACCCAAACTGATTACGTGCAAAAACTCTAGATTTAGACTCAAACTGCTCCAGTGAATAAGACTCCCCACTTTGCCAAACTTGCATATGAACACCGGACTGACCAGCCCCACGAATCTTTCTAGGGTTCCAACCCAATTCTTGATGCCTAGTAGTAAAAACAGCAAGGCCATCATTCTCATTTTCTTCTATTACATGACCCATTAGCGATAAACCACGACGAGTGCTAGACAAAGGGCCCATACTCCTTGAAACAGGACAAGAATTCTCCCTTTGATCCATGACTTCATGTTCTTTCAATTTTGCTAAAGATTTGTTCAAATTTGCAAAGACATATTTCTTTGCAGGCCTAGGAAAAGGGGGTATGATTTTGCAGATGCCAAATTGGCTCGCATCTTTTTCGATTTGTGAAATGTATGCAATTGGGTCTGCAAATTCTGTTTCAGTTGGGCGATATTCGGGAGCCAAAGGCAACCCTTTCAACCACTCTGGTATTTCTAAATCCTCCATTAAAGATAGTATTCAGTCATCCATTGAAGAAATCTCACTGATACAAGGTTATCTAAAGTTCTAAATCCTATTAAAGAACCAGCTTACTCAACCAAATTGGAATCTATAAACCCCCCCCCTAAAGAAGCACGCTGTCATCCATTAAAGAAATCTCATTCACACAAGCAATTAGGTATCTACAATTCGCAATCCTCCATTAAAGAACCAATTCAACAAGCAAATTGGAATCTATAAAAGCCCCCGTTCAACATTTCCATTGTTCAACTAACTTGGTACCAACAAATCATCCATTAGAAAGAATGACCCAATTCTCAGTTTTTGATTCCAAAACAGAAAAAACCAAATAGGAGCAATGAACCACCAATAATTCTAGAAAACCCAACAAAAAACTCAAATGCTAAGTTACCCAAAATGAGCTTTTCTGAAACCATTCAGATAAGAAATACATGAGTATCATGTACACAGTGAGAATACAGTCAATCGGTTGGTTAGTACTCGAAATTACACATCCACAGCAGAAATGTAAAGAAGCAAACATTAAGGGAAAAACAGAGAAAGAACCTGGTTTAATCACGCCTTCGTACTAGATGTAAGAGAGAGAGAGAGAGAGAAGGGAAATTGGAAGAGTGGGAAGTTGAGTACGAGCATAACTGCACGTACATGGTTTAACCTCGCGGTTAGGGCAGGCCAAAAAAGTACCCATGATTTTAAGTGAAATTACGAAAATACCAAAAATGGCTGCTCATGCTTTGGGACCATCTCAAGCCCTTTTTCATTTATTTTATTTGAACGAATTTAGGCATCAATTTTTGGAGTGAATTATAAAATTTCTCATGTTTTTCAAGAGTTGCCTTCTTTTTGGTTTATTGGGTTGGAATTTTTAATCTCTTGAAGAAAGTTTAAAAACAAATGATTGTGTGAGCTTCAACCATATTCAAAAGCTTGAAATCCATTTGTGTATGTGCAGAGATAAAAAGCTTGCAGTCTATGTGTGTGTACATGTGTGTGTCCAAAAAAATAGAAAAAATATCGTATAAATCTGTTTTTTGTACTAGCCGTCCTGCCCATAACATCTACATTCATAAATATATATTCAAATTTGTGACTGTTGAGAACCAATGATCGACTTGTGAGTTTTTTCGATTCTAGAACTGCATTTTTTTGGTAGGCTTTGATTGTGGGCTTTATCGTTATTTGCTCCAAAATATTTTCCGTTTATTAAATGTAAGCGGAATATCCCATAATGTAACGGAAATTATCTTCATATAAAAATATTCTGACATTCTTTTTTGCCACGTTAATGAACAGAAATAAAATTTTTGACATCATGTTGTGGGCCTACCACCCTGACCACCCATGAGAACGACCAATTCATGAAAATATAGAGTTAATGAACAAAAATAGAACTTTTTGATGTCATGTTATGGGATTACCACCCTGACCACCCAAGAGAACGACCAATTCATGAAAACATAGACACTTGATACATGATAGTTCACATCAGCCGTCCTTTGGGGACCAATTCATGAAAACATATACACTTGATACATTATAGTTCACATCAGCCGTCCTTTGTCCCCAATGGACCACTGGTATCACTTTGCAGCATGTTGTAAAAGGAGAAATATATCAAATAATTATCTATCTAGGATAAGTTGGGTCATACTTAGTCCAGGGAATTTCTTCACGCTTTGCAGTAAGGTCACATGGCAGTCTCTCTTTTTATGGATTAAATTGTAAAAAGATATATTATCAACTATACCCATATGTCCATTTCCAATGACACGTTTTTAAATTTAAATACAGGCATAATGCTGTCCTACTGTCAATTGATTTTCAGGGAAAAATCGAATTTGAAGGTAACGGCACGCCTTCGCGGCTTCTCTTTGCTGGGTCATTTAAGTTTGCCTTATCCATTTCTCTCCTAGGTGATTCAATGCTCTCTCTAATTTTGTAATAGTCTTCTATCTGTAGGAGTCGCAATGGATCGGGAGTAGACTCTATCTAGGTCTTGGTATGGGTTTAAAAATTGGAACTGGTAGATCGAGTCCAGGCTCAAATTTTGGACTCAAACACTATTTGGGTCAGGGTCTAGGTTCGTGTCTAGGTCTAGGTCTCCCATTATTTTTTCGTGTCCTAATTTATAAAATATATTTAAATATATTTCAAATATATAAATATTTTAATTGGGTTGGGTTCGGCTGAGTTCGAGTCCCATATTATATTTTAGGGAAAATATCACCATACCTCCTTCTTTTTAAGTTTCATATCTAAATAGACCAAGGGTTTCAAAACATATCTTGAGTCATAAAAATTCTAAATTTTATATCTTTTAACCTCCTAAGCTAACTTTATCACTTTTAAATTTATTTTTTACCCCAAACAAATATAAAAAAGATATATTCTTTCTAAACACCATTATCTCTTCACGTGATTTTTCTCTAAATCTCTCTCTACCTATTTTTCCACTCTCTCCCCGTGTCTCTCACTCTCTCTCCCCTATTAGAGAAAAAGAGGATAATTGTTAGAGAGAAAAATTTGGGGGGAATATATCATGTATCGTGAATAAGGGTTTAGAATGATCCTGTTTTTTTTTATATTTGTTAAGACTAAAAGAATAGTTAAAAGTAAGTAAAGTTAATCACGAGATCAGGAGATATATTTTGAATATTTTGATCTATTGTGACATGAAAACAAAAAATATGGGATACAAAAATATTTTCCCTATATTTTATGGTCCAGGTCTGAATCCCATGACTTTGGATCCATCCAAACCAAGACCCGACCCTCCCCCACCTGTTGCCATCCCTAGATTATACTATTATGGACCCAATTCTCTCTCTCTCTCTCTCTCTCTCAAACGACCAAAATCCCTTATTGCTAACATTCCCTTCCGTGCCCACTAGGCATCCTACCAAGATTTTGGTTGAGGCTGCTACCCATCCTAGCCGTTGATGCCCATGAGTGGTGACCCACTCTCCTCCTATAAGGGAGATAAGGGAAAGGGGCTGAGAGAGAGAGAGAGAGCGTGTGTATTTGGACTTTACTCTGTCTAGGCTTGGCAATAGGCCAGGGGCTCGGTCGGCCCGGCCCTAAAAACAGTAGGGCTTGGACCACGAACTGGGGCCAAGGGCCAAGGGCCAGGCTAGGACTAGTGTCGGCTAGCTATGTTTTTGAAAATTTTTAAGTGCATTTATAATGTTTATTATTCTACCCAAGATTTAGCTGATTTTTTGAAATTTAGGATCCTTTAAATACTCCTAAATAAGATTTTATTAAGTCAGCATCTAATTGGGATGCACCCTTTGGAGGTAAATGGGTGTAGGGTTTGATATCTATAGGCATTTTTGAGGAGTGGTGGTATAATTCATTGGACGATTGGATTTTTGCTTTTTTCTTTTACACTTGCAGCGCGACCATCGGAGAAATAAAGTGGCATGCAAATTTTAGAGCCATTTTAAATGGGAATTGATGTTGCTCTCTTTTCTCCCTTCTTTATTTTGTTTCTAAAACAATGGGCGCTTTGGCAGCCCCAATTCTAAAAAGAGTTGTGACCATATTGGTACCGTGATGTAAATTTCCTCCATTTTGTAATTTTTTGTTTTTTTGTTAAAGGTTATTTTTATCATAAAAAATAAGTTTTTATGGAGACTCATAAAAAGCATTTTTGAAGAGAGAAAATATAACAATAAGAAAAAATTTTGGAGAGAGAAAATATAAGAAAAAAAAAAGAAAAAAAGTGCAGAGAAGTTTTGGGAAGTAGAGATTAGGGGTTTCTTGTACAAACCCTAGCATCATTGTGAGCTTTGTATTGGGCTGAATGTGATTAGGATTTTTTCACGACGACCGATTTGGTTGACGGAGATGCAGGCCGGATCCGATTGATAGCGGTGTTAGGGTTAGAAATTTTTATTTGAGCTTTCCTTGCTATTATATAAAGTAATCTCTACAAAATCCTAAACTTATAAATTTCTTTTTTGCTCTCTTACCTGTGGACGTAGCCCATCTTGGATGAATCATGCCCGTAGACTTATCTCATCTTGGGTGAATCATGTAAATAAATGTGTATTCTTTCTTCTCTTCCCATATTACTTATTTATTTGTTTTCATAGTTTTTCCAAATATTTTCTTCCCATATTATTTATTTCCTTATTTTCATATTTTTTCCAAATATATTGCACACACATTATTGGGCATTTATTTGGGTGTTGGGTTCATTATTGTGGGGTGCCCACCACATCAACTAGAGATTTGGGTAATCTCGATTTGCCAACAAGGGGTAACTGAGATAGCCTCGGATGCCAACAAAAACATTAAAAACTACCTTTTAGATTTGCAATAAATAAAAGGTGAGGTTTGTATAAGGTTGTCTCTTTATACTATAGAAGTAAGGCATACCTCTAGAATTTGCTTAGAGATTCGTCCGGCGTTGTAAACTTTATGATACTTGAAAATCTATTCTTATGCATAGTTATAAAATTTAAAATTTCAAAAATAGTACAGATTGAGAATATCAACACTTGAAAATCTTGAAAGTAGATGGGTCTAGATGATTTAGTACAAGATGCAATATTTTCTAGATTTGGATTTTTTTTTTTTTCTTTGTGTCTATACATCTTGAGGTTCGCGATTATCAATTTGATGGTTCTTCAATGCTGGAGCACTCTCTTTTACAGGATTTTTTAGTGTAGCTTACTTTAGTATTAGTTTGAAAACTTATATAACTTTTCCATAAAGGCCATTTTCCATAAATAGAATTAGTTATTCGTCGAATAAATATAGTAAGTCCCTTCAAAATAAAGATAATTATTTGTTCATCTTACTCACAATAGTGTTTGGGAACCAGCTCCTCCATGTTATCTTAGGGCCCGTTTGGTTCTTTGGAATCATATTTCTAGAAGTTACTTTTTATAGAAAAGGCCGGCAATTGTGTTTTGTTGTTTAGAATTGACATTTCTATTGGAATTAAGATTTCTACATGCTCATTTTAAACCTAAAATTTGAAAATATCAATTTCACCAAAGTAGTTGGAATTGACATTTCATGAAAAGGACCTATTTTGTTGCTGAAGAATGAAATCATATTAAAATTTTAGAGAGGGAAACTATATCAAATTTTAGAGAGAGACAACATATTGAAATTTTAAATAGGAAAACTATATCAAATTTTAGATAGAGAAAGTATATGAATTTTTTCAGAGAGAGAAAACACATGAATTTTTTAGACAGAGAGTAACTATCTCAGTTTTTTAGAGAGAGAAACTATCTCAAATTTAAGTTTTAGAGAGAGCATCTTAAAATTTTCTAGAGATAAACTATCTCAAATCTTAGGTTTTAGAGAGATAAAGTATATTAAACTTTTAGAGAGAGAAACCAAATTAAATTTTAGATCGAAGAACTACTTAAAAATTTCTAAAGAGAAATACCTTAAAACTTTTAGAGAGAGTTCATTAAAATTTTAAATATTAAAAACTATGTCAAATTTTAGATAGAGAAACTATCTGAAATTTTTTAAAGAGAGAAACATCTCAAATTTTAAGTTTTAAAGAGAGAAAAGATCTTAAAACTTTAGGAAGAAAAACTATATCAAATTTTAGATAGAGAAAATACCTGAAATTTTTTTAGAGAAATAATTTCAAAAATTTTTAAAAGTAAAACTATCTCAAATTTTAAGTTTTAGAGAGAGAAAG